TTATATAAGTTCATCACAAGCAGCAATTCATGAACTTGAATTACTTGATATATTATCTTGTAATAATGAATTTTTCTTAGAATATTTTCAAAAAGATTTACCGAAATATTTACGTTTTCCATCATCATTATGGATTGCTATTAAATATACATTAGGTAATATATCTATATGATTGAAAAAATCTTGTTTATTATGTTAATATATTGATTTAGGTCCATTATTATCAATAAGATATTTTGATTTAAAAGTTGTTATTTGTTGGAGTCATTCATTTATTCGAAGACATATGAAACAAAAATATTTAAAACGAGTTGAAGATATTCGTATTTCACATCGAGATATTTCAAATTATTTTCTGGAATCTTTCATCGAATCAAAACCATTAGTCGACATGGGACGTAACATTCAAATCAGGTATTTGATAATATTTATTCGCACATATCAATTGCTTTATGTTAAATATTCATATTTTGTAAAATAAGTAATTATATCTAGGGGCTACTTAGTGTAGATCACTATAATAGAATCTTTGAAGAAAATATAGCTTTTAGCTTTAAGCAATAAAGAAATTGTTGTTTATTAATATACCTACAGCTTCTCTTCAAGCAAAATTCCTACTGCTTTTATTCTCAATATAGCCATTCTAAGTTTAGAATAATTTAATACTCATTGGATCAGCTTAACCTCACCCTTCAAAAGCAGTTATATCTCGAAAAAAGAAACTTGCAGCTGATTTTAATTCTAACTATATTGGCTTACTGTCTCTTCGCTAATAAGACTTTCGCCATTAGCAAAATTCGAGAATCCTACTATGTTACTTATGAACCTTGTTTTTGACGGATTGAATTGATCGATATTTGATCTCGCTGTATAAAAAAATTTGTTTTATAGAGGAGATAATGCACGTCGTTTCGTCTTACAACAACCACTTCTTTATTCCGAAACAGCATATAATTATCGACGATTAGGTGAATTATGGTATCAATTGATGCATTCTGGTATAAAATTGCTTTATAATCTTCTATATAACTATTGTTTTTTCTTTCTTAAAGGTGATATTGATCGTTTAAAAGAACATACATTATGTTGTTTTGACTATTTATTAGCTAAAATTCATGGTTCATCGATTGAACAATTATTATGGGAAATCGATATAGTTTGTAGTAATATTCTCGATGCTGACGTTCTTCTCGTACAAACAATATTAAGAAATATAATTCATATTGTTTCATATGATCCAGTTTTACTGGCTGGTGAAATGATTTTACGTTTAAAAAATATAAAAAATCATTATAATGAACATATTGAAGTCTTATTTGCTCAAGCACATGATTGGTGTGATTCATCTAGTGCATCAGTATTTGTTCCATTATCTTCATGGATATCAACAGTACCATCAATGACTATAACTGTATTACCATGTGCTGATGGAGCATTTAAAATAGCACCCACAACATTCAATCAACATGTTTTTTGTACAACACGTGCAAATGAAATAGCTATGTATCATATACCATCAAAAAAACTTGTTAAAAAATTTACCGGTATAATATTATTGAAATAGAAAGATAAAAGAAAACGAATTTTTCTATTTACTTTAGGTCATACATCACAAATTACAGCTATACAATTAACACATAATAATAAATATTTAGTATCGTCATCAACAGATCGTACTATAAAATTATTTAATTTGAATTCCGGAGAATTAGAAAATAGTTATTGGTAAGAAAATCTTTTTGACATCGAAAAAATAATTTGAAGAATTTTTATTTAGTGTTCATCAAGATGAAGTACTTTGTATGACAGTTTCACATAATAATGAACAAATTGTAACTGGATCTCGTGATCGATTTATTATTGTATTTCGTTCGGACAATGGTGAAATTGAACATTCAATTGAACAACATACAGATGCTGTCACTGCTGTTGCACTTACACAAGATGATGGTCTATTAATTTCTGGTTTGTTATTATAATACAATAATAAAATCAAAGATTTCATTCTTCTATTTTCTAGCTTCACGTGATCAAACTATAAAACGATGGACATTTCGTGGTATGCAATTACTTGATGTTATTGATACAGTTGGCTCACCAATTACACATATGATTATATCTACTGATGATACATTTATAATAGTTTCATGTGATAATAAAACAGTTCAAGTTAAATCACTTGTTACTGGAAGTGATATACATAATCTTGAAGGACATTCATCTGAAGTGACAAGTCTTTCAGTATCAAATGATTCGATATGTTGTTATGTTGGTTGTAGTGATGGACATATATATGTTTATAATTTACGTTCACAAATTCTTCTTCGAACATTAACACATCATGATTCAGCTATTACTGATCTTAATATATCAATGGATGATTATTTTCTTTTTTCTGCAGCTGAAGTAAATTGAATATTCATAATAAACTAAAAATCTTATTCTTTTCTTCTATTTAAGAATGCAATACATGTTTTAAATGTTAAACAACAATCCAATGGTTTTCAAACAACTGATCCATTGTCATCACCAGATGCTATTACAGCATTATCGATATCACGTGAAGGTGATGTTGCTATAGCTGGTTGTGCAGCTGGTAGTGTTCGATTATTTAATTTGATTGATGGAGAATTTACTGAACGTACAACTGATCATAAAGGGCCTGTTACACAAGTCGCACTTTCACATTCATATTTATTTTCATTATCCGGATCAAAAGATACAACAATTAAAGTTTATGATAATGAAATGGGAGAAATTGTTGCAGAATTTACTGTGAATATATATAATTATAAACTTTTCTTTTCTAAAAATATTTATTTTAATTAGGATCATACAGCACCAATAGCACATGTACGAATACTAGAAGATAATCGAAAGATTCTATCAAGTGATGAACAAAATTATATTAAAACATGGTGGGCAAATACAGGAGAACCCATTGATTCAGTAAGGAATACATTATAATATAAAATAAATCTATTATATTTATTATTTTAGTATAACATACCATGTAAAATGCTTGGTGTATCACCTGATGGTAAATACGTTGTATCAGGAAATGGAGATCATCTGTAAATACGTTTTATTTTCATAATTTTCTTTGAAATTTTTAATAAATAAAATTTAGTTTAAAAATTTGGTCATTGGATGATGCACGTGTTGTTCGTTCAATAGATCATACAGAAGGAAAAATAACTTGTATGGCATTTCGAGCCGATTCACAATATTTAATTACTGGAGGTGAAGATTTTAGTTGTAAATTATGGGAATTAGCATCAGGAAAACTTACACAAGTAAAATTTAATTTTTTTAGAAATTTTTAAAAATAAAATTTATTTATTGTAAGGTTCTTGTTGAACATGAACATTCAATTTCGGCTGTTGCAATTAGTGAAGATGGAAAACATGTTCTTAGTGGTGATAATGATGGTCACGCTCTTATATGGTCATTCAAAGATGGTAAATTATTTTGTTCTCTAATTGTTATTTTAATTAAATCATTATCACAACATAGAATATGTCATAAACTTTATCCTTGACCTATATAATGTACTCGTTAAAATACAATCAAACCTTCTTAGTATTCCATTCATTGAATTGCACTATTGTGAACTACGATAGCTAATCTGTTATTTAACTGACTGAGTTAATTATAGGACGAGAAACTTCTTATATCCGTTAATTGTTATTTTTTTTGTTGAAATACTTGATTACAAAACAACTTTAAATATTCTCTAGGTGCTGTTGTACATAAGCTTACAAGACATAAAAATGCAATCGTTACTGTCTCATTTACTATTGATAGCAATATTGCAATAACTGGTAAAATATATATTCTCTATTATTATTATTACTATTATTTCATTTATAGCATCTCAAGATGGTTTTCTTCAAGCATGGTCAACTTTAACTGGTATTTGTATAGCTGCATTTCATTTTAATCATACACTCATTAAATTACTTGTATCACAAAGTGGAGGTATAAGTCGATCAATCAATCAATTATATAAATTCAATCTCTTTTGTTTGTTTAGCACGTTATGCCGCGATTTTACAAAATACATCTTGTGTTGCTATGTTAAGTCTTTTTAATATTCCATCTGGTGAAGTTACAAAGATGCCACAACGTCACAATCAAAGTATATTTTTAAATTTCAATTAATTACTTTTTTTAATTATTTTTTTTAATTTCAGCATTTTGTGATCCAAATAATATCCTATTACCAATAAAACCCAAACCATTACTTTTTCCAAAAGAGTCAACATTTTTATACGATGAATCTAATCAAATTTTGAAATCCGATCAAATTGCGGGCGATACTATATTAGTAAGTTTTCATTATTTCTTGTCTAGACTTCGGAAAAGGAAAAAATGTCTATGAGATTCAACAAATATTTTTTAATCGGAAACTGATCAACTACATGTTGAGAATATTAATAATCAACGTTTTTCTTAATTCTTATTTACGTCCTATGAATGGACGAATAGTATTAACTGGTTAATATAAGACAAGAAGAAAAAAAATGTCTTGTAGACAAGAAAATCTAATGACAACGTCATTGACATATAAGCTTAGAATATAAAGAAAAAGACAAAAAGACATGTTCATATACTCATGTATATATCTATATATTGAGTTACTATTACTTAGTAATTAAGAAGGACATGATGGCATCAGTGTTTTGTTGTTATTTTCGTTGTCAGTGTAGATTCTTTGTCTGTAAGAAGAAGAAGAAGGAGACGAGCATGTTTTGTATATCAAAAAACTTTTTTTTCCTGATAATTAACATGACTGTAGATATGTTTTTTTCTTCGTTATACTTTGACCTCTTATTTATCCAAAACCTTTTCCTACATATGTGAAAAAATGACAAGAACTTTTTCTAATAGAAAATCGTCAGACGATTAAATAAGTCTTATATATTTTTTTAATCAAAGAATAAGATCTAAAACTAATCTAGATATAAGATCAGATATAGTTTTAAAAAAAACCCATAATGAATATCGAACATTTTGAATATTATGAACTTTATTCAATATCATCAAATATGTCCAATGATTCTGTGATTAAATTTATTATCAATTTTCATCGTATATATCCTTGGTTATTATTTCCATTTGGTTTTATTGGTTCATTATTAACAATCTTTATATTTACACGAAAAAAATTTCAAAAATTTGGTTGTTCAATATTATTTGTTGCCGAAAGTTTTATGGTAAATAAAAGTTAAAATTTTTTTGTTACACTCAAAAACTACTTTAGTCATTTTCTAGGATTTAATATTGATTACATTAAATTGTATTCGTCTTATAATACGTTATACATTTCAATCCTATTTTTTACAACGTTCATTATATTTATGTCGAACATATAAATTTCTAACAAGTTATTGTTCTCATTGTGCTGTATGGATTTTATGCGTTATATCACTTGAACGTGCTGCTGTTACAAAACGTTATGTTTGGAATCAAAATGTTTTTAGTCGTAAACATTCATATTGTACATTAATATTAATTTATATTATATTATTTTTTCTTAATATACATTATTTAATATATTTTGGTTCAAGACAAGAAGAAGAAAATAATGATTTAGGAAATAATAAAACAAAAAATAATTTCTTTATTATGTGTAGTTCAAATTTAACACGTTTATCAAAAGAAACCTATGAATCATTTTTGATTTATTATTTTTCTAAAATGGATTTTTTATTAAATTCTTTAATACCATTTATTATTATTTTACTTGCAAATACAACTGTTATGTCTTCAGTTTGTAAATCACGTATTTTAATGAAACAATTAGGTGTAAGACAAACACGTTCACCACGTGATACACAGTTAGCATATATTTTATTTGTTTCAACATTAATTTTTTTATTATTAACATTTCCATTACGTGTCTTTTCTGTTATTGAACCATATTTAAATTATGATGAAAAATATTTAATTTTATTAGATGGTATTATGAGATTTTTATTATATCTTGATCATGGTTGTGGATTTTATCTATATACATTTACAGGCGAATTATTTCGTCGTGAATTAAAAAAATTTATTTATGAATGCGTATTTAAAATATTTCATTGGCCATATGTCGAACCAAGACATCAAAATGAATTAAGTTGTTCAAATGGTGGTGCATGTTCACATGTTTTACATCAATCACAACATGCAAATATTCTATTAAGAGATTCTATAAGTAGTTTTACTGGACCTGGAACTACTACTGTTATGAAATCATCTTTACATTCACTTCAAACACATAGAACTTCGAATTATTCAGCTTATCATCAATGTCTTTTTGCAAAGCCTCGTATGACAAATACATTGTCAACATCATTGTCACGTTCAAAATTTAGTTATCCAATAGAAAAACAAAATTTATTAACATCAGAACAAAAACGTGGACTTGTTAAACGACATAGTTCATCTTGTTTTGAATCTCAGTATAGACCATTACTTATTCCATATACATCACAGAATATAAACCCTACACATAATCTTGATCGAATGAGTGATATTGTTTAGAAATTAATTTTCTTCTCTAATCTTTTGTTTTTGTGAATTCTCTAAAAAAATTCAATTTTGTTTTTATTATAGTCGGATCCAATGAGTAAATCACAAAGTAAAGAACTTTTTAATAAGAAAAAACAACGTGGTCGAACCAAAAAAAATAGTATCGGTGGTGGTGGTCCTGTAAGTACAAGTAATCCAACAGTAAGCAATACAGCTGTAACAAAACTATTTGCACTTCAAACATCTCAAGGAACGAATGGTTTATATAATGGTGAAGATCCAGCTGTTGTTGTTATTAATCATCAACCACCAGTATTAACTCAAGCAAAAGAAAAACGTACAAAAATTTGTTGTCTATTGTAATTTCTCTAACTGTTTCTTGGTTTCTTTTTCCCTGTCAAGTCATAATATATCATTGTTTTTGTTTCTTTCATTTTATGTTACGTGATTATATTGTTACTCGTAAGATTCTCAAATATTTTCATTGAGTTAAACGAGAATATCTTTATCTCTTGTATTATTCAATTGAATCAAATATTGAACAATACAGGTACATATACCATTAGACAATAATGAACCACATAGTTGACATAAATGTTTTTCTATACATGCATTTGATGAACGTATTTTATCTGTAGTATTATTTTTTGATGGAATATTTAGCAATGATGATGAATAATTTTGTTTTGAATTTTTATATATTGACATATCATCAATAAATGAAATACTAACAGCTGATTTTAATCGATTGATATTATTTGATAATGATTGTTTCATAGAAGAATTACTTGGAATAGATCTTGAATTTCTTCTTTTGTATTTCACTGGACATGGATAAGTAATAGGAAATGTAAAACGAAGACATTTATTTTTGATTGATTGACAACGACGTTTAGTTAGTTGACGATATTGTTTTCGTAATAATTGTTTTTGTTTTTTAGCACTTAATGGACCTGTAATAGAATTAATGGTAGAGTATAGAGAGAAATGTTCTTAGATTAACCGCAGTGTTTAATATAATCATAATATTTGTATTATAGTTGTTTCAGTGATATCGAATTCTATTTTTGATTTATTAAAGGGAATATGTTTTGCGGTCAGTAAAATAATTGAAATATCAGTAAATATATTAATTGGTCAGTAGATTTCGTGGAAGTAGCAGTGAAAAAATATGATTTTTGTCAGTAAAAAAAAGAAAAGTAGGCCATGTTTGCACAAATTTATATATTTTTATTTTCCATTCCATTTTATTTACTGACCGTTTCATTTATTCTATTGACCACTTAAATGACACCCTTTATTGAATTTAGGTTTTGAATTAAATATTGAAACTCTCTCAAATAAATTTTTGAAATTAAGGCAGGAGACTACAGTGAAAAGAATTATGCTCAAATTCACACAATCTAAGTTCATTATATATATAGACATAGATCAAATATTGTTTTTATTCAATTCATACGACGTTTGCTCACTAGAGGATACTCAATAATAACTGATGCACCTGAATAGTTGTATGTAAAAACTTCGAAGTTCTCAAATAAGAATTAGTACATTAGACTTAATATTACAAATTATAAAAAAAACTGCCACATATGAACAGTTTAATATTTAATAGATTAAATATTTAACACAAATAATCAAGATAGGTAAACTTACGAACATGAATTTGTAAGAAGGAATTTTTATCTCGACATTGTTCTGCAATAATTGGTACATTTAACTTTTGATTATCATCTTTCAATATATTTTTATATTGAGTATCAGGACCTTTTAATAATTTAATGATTGAATTTTGATTAAAATCAATATAGGCAATCGATTTATCTTTTCGATGAGATGTTTTCATGAAATTCATATGATACAATTTGTTTATTTAATTTCGAAGAAATAAAATTTACTTGAGAAAAATCATTGAAAAGAAAAAAAGTGAATTAGCGCTTTTGAATAATTTTTTTCAAAGTGTGTTTAAAATAAACTATTGTAACTGAATGTCTATCTTTTACTTCAAATCAATTTTTAGATGAATTCAAGAATCTTCAACTAATATAAAATCGAAAAATTCATCTAAACTATGAACTTTTCTATTTTAATTACCGTACAATTCTTTTTCTCCTTTTAAATTCAAATTCAATATTTTTCTTTAGTCAATGAGAGTGTGCGTGATATTTCAAACCTACACCCTCATTATTTTATCGAAATTAAAGATATTTTTTGTTGTAATATGTGTTCCCGATTAAAAATACTAGTTTTATTAGCTATTTCATTTAAATTGGTTCAACTCATACTCCGTAGTAAATCTTTTCGTTAAAATATTTATCGCCTTGAAAAATGCGAATCAATCATTCTTCCTTCACCAACGACTAGTCATTTGCACAATCTTCGCCAATTAATTATACGAAAACAAAAATGGATGTGCATTAGAAACAATTTTATTAATCTGTTTTTCTTTAGTTTATTTTGATTTTTCATGTGATGACGCTATTCTTTAATTTGTTTGCATAAAGAATTATTGTTTTTTATTGATGAAGTATTTTGGATTTGGTTGACTGAGTCTTACATGTTTATATGTAAGGACATATGCGTTATCGTCATTGTATTGGTAGTTTAAAAAAAAAAACCCAGATGCACGACATTTTCAGTTATATCGACAAATGTGGTTCATATTTTGTCTTGATTTTTTCCCACATCAAGTATGCACCTATCGATATTCTTGTTCTTCCTTTAAATGATTGTATCTTTGAATGATGCATATTTTTACCCAGCTTACTCATTTTTGATCGTAAAATGATTATCATATCATAGTCTTGGGAATCAATGTTGTATTCAACTACTATTCATAGGCGCCGTAAATATTAAATCAAAAGAAGTTTGAATATTTAGATAAGAAGTTTTTTATTATGAAAAAAAATTATGCCTTTTCTTGTTTATTTTGAATACAAACTTTAACGAACATTAAAAAGAAAAAAAGAAAAAAAGAAAAAAAGATAATTAAGCACAAAAAGCACAGCTTTTTATGCTTCAGATAAAAGGAAAGAGAATAGAAATAATGTTTTCATTAATAATATTTTTTTTAGCGATCAAAGCGAAATGACAGTATAAATGACCATCAACATAGTCAGTTCTTGAATAACATATATATATGAATAAAAATTGTCCGAAAAAAAAATTGGCTAGATTAAATATGATATAGAAATTGTCAATATATGAAGTTAGTTTGTTGAAGTATCCATTAATTCACCGAGCTCCACATGATCCTTGTCTTGTTTCGTGTTCTTGGGTCTGCCCGCCCATTCTTTCTAAAATTTAAACAACATGGTTCATTTTAGTTTATCGTTATAGCAAAGAAAAGCTTACGTATATAATTATTAACAAAACGCATATTCCAGACACTGCAGATATTCCAAAAGCAGCGAATGCATAATTTAGCACAGATTTTGAATCGGGAAGTTCTAAAATTACTGAATCAACGTCTGCAGGATCATAATAACAAGTTAAATTGGAACCGATCTATATACAAAAAAAAGAATATAAATTATATAATAATATTAAACTGTACCGGTGATTTTTCATCTGTATATACGTCATCTGCCCTTGTGAACGTATTCATTCTGTAAGTGCCATCTGTAATAGAATATTCTAATACGGATTGTCCACCCAAACATTTAGTAGCAGCACAAGTATGGGAATTACAGACTGCACATGAATGCTCATATACCGTATAATTTACTACTAGACATGTTGTCGTAGCATAACTTTTTCGAATATTTTCAGATTCCACATATTTCCATGTGAAGAGTGATCCCATGAAGATACCAATTATAGACAACACAA